AGTCCATGTTTTACTAATAGAGTCCATGTTTTACTAATAGAGTCCATGTTTTACTAATCGAGTCCATGTTTTACTAATAGAGTCCATGTTTTACTAATAGAGTCCATGTTTTACTAATAGAGTCCATGTTTTACTAATAGAGTCCATGTTTTACTAATAGAGTCCATGTTTTACTAATAGAGTCCATGTTTTACTAATCGGGTCCAGTCCATGTTTTACTAATGAGTCCAGTCCATGTTTTACTACATGCCGATTTAAGCAGGCTATCAATAACTGACTTTTGTCTATTTATCAATTATTGGACGAGGTTGAGCAAAATATCGTGATTTGTCGGTGGCGAGCAGATCAATTATTTGCCGATGCCGAAGGCAGAGGCAAATAATTGATCTGCGAGCCACCGACAAATCACGATATTTTGCGAGAACCGAGTTCAATATATAAATTTGCCGTCTCTCTTTCTTGCTTCTGCATTAAACTCGCGAAGGACGTTGGCAAGAGTTTCTTTTGTAGTTTTAAGCCAACTAAATCGTCTTTGTTGATTTAGTCTTGCTTCCAAATGCTGGCGAAAGACATTGACGGCGGTTTTAGTTGCTTTTTTATTTTTAAATAAGCAAGACAACTCATTTTCCGAAAGTTCAGCAAAGCGAGCCGCCATTGTTTACAAAAATGGAAGGCAATGCGCATGCTCAGACTATTATTTGTAGCTGAGCAACGTTTTTAACAAATGCGCATGCTCAGACTATTATTTGCACGCAGTTATTTGCAGGTAAATTAACCAATCAAAATTGAGAACACTATAAAGTGAATGATAATAATTATTATGTGTCAAGTCACGCGCACAGAGCTTTTGCAACATGATGTTCATATAATCATATTGACTATTTATTTCTCTAAAATCCCGATAAACAAGCAAAATAATTTAAAATAATTTATAATTTATCTGTCAAAACCAAATAACAAGAGAAAACAAGTATAAATCCCACGCTTCGACAGTCTATCTGAGCAGACTGTGTCTAGACATACTGCCTGTCTATAAGTGTCTGTCTACATAATCGGCTGTATATTATAGACATTATAATTTCGTGATAACAAAACACCCCGTAATATTTTTTACACCAGATTTGAGAGCAACATTTGCCCATACATTTGTCTAAATTTGAAGGAAATCGGAGTTTTACCGGAAAGGGAAAATTGATTTTCAACAAATGTACCAAACTTAAAATTTTTTAACTTAAGGTTTTTCTTGTGATTTTCGCGATATTATAGTCAGTATAATTCCGCGGTAACAAAAAGCCCCAAAATAATTTTTATATCAGCTTTTAGAGCAACAGTTTCTCTTTAAATTCCCTAAATTTCAAGGAAATTGGAGTTTTCCCGGATACGGAAAATTAATTTTCAAAAAGTGTAACAATTTAGAATTTTTTGGATCGCAAAATAAGGCGATTTTTACACGCTTGCCTTGACTTTGAAATATTATTTAAAAGATTCCAAAATAGACTATCGTTGTTTATAAACATCTTATATACACGTTTAAAAACCGAAAGTGAGGTTCCCTGAAGACGCGAACTGAGCAAAACGAAGTTTTCGAGAGACTATGACTCACTATGTTTTTAGCTAATTTCACGAATCTTGGGTACATGTCAGGTTTTGATAATTTTTCGGCGTTTAAAATAATATTTCAGAAAACAAACCCCATCACGCTTCTAAGTATACATTAGTGTATCACTGGACAAAATAAGAAAACATTTCATTTTTCATCATGTGCCACCAGTTGCTCGCTGATAGTGGAGATTCCCTCTTAATTCGTAATATTTATTGAATGATAACGATATTCTTGCCGTGCAAATATTTCAAAACTTCGACAACATCTTTGGCAGCTGTTGGCATGAAGTTTGTGAACGAGGCAAAGTCAAACTCGTCTACGAAATGGACAAAATCTTCTAGAGTGTAAAGACTTTTTTCAACTCCAAACGGGCGAAAATCGAAGCAAGAATACTCCATCATTATTGAAAATTCAGGGAACCGGATTATGTTCCTGTGGCCTTTTGTACTGTTCAACAGTGAGGCTTCTTTCACGAAACAGGATTTCGAGTCAATGGACTCGACATTACTGTTTTTGGCAACCACTTTTCTGGTCTTTCCTTTGTATTTTGCTAGGTATACGGACCCAAACGTACCGCAACCCAACTTTTTTTCTTCGAAAAGTTTCCACTCAAACTTTGGCAACTCTGGATCCTTTTTTGCCTTTGTTTTCAGACTTGTCGAGATTTTATTAAGCTCGCTGCATTTTTGTTCCATTTGACAAAAAGGGAAAAGCTCTGGGAACGAGGTTGCCATTTTGATCAAATTTTGGCACGATATTGTGGTCCAAGTCTGCGTTTTACTAATAGAGTCCAGTTCGCGTTTTACTAATGGAGTCCTGTCCGCGTTTTACTAATAGAGTCCAGTCCGCGTTTTTCTAATTGAGTCCAGTCCGCGTTTTACTAATAGAGTCCAGTCTGCCTTTTACTAACAGAGTCCAGTCCGCGTTTTACCTGTCCAGTCCGTGTTTTACTATATGCCCTTCTTGTTTGTGTCAGGACTATAATATTCTATTGCTATTCAAACGAGATATTCTATACACTGGAAATGTAGATTACATTTTACTTTGTCTTTGTCTTAAGCAAAAAAATTATAAAGATTAATTAGCAGGCATTCAAAAATATACAACAACCACGAACACTCGTTATTTCTCCGGGGAAATCTTCAAGTTTCAATGGAAATCTGGCGCATGGGCAACAAATTTCCCAGTTGTTGGGGGCGGAAAATAATTTGCCCACTCTTATGTAATGTGATTTTTAACCCAACTATTTTCTTTTCGTTCCCAAACCCCCAGTACAAATATTGCTACTCCCTCGCAAATGATGTCTGGATTGCATGTCACTGTTTTTTTCATCCTGCAGACCAAGTAACGTGACCTGTTGATTTTGAGAGTTCTATCTTAGTAAACCCAAATCTGTTTTAGGTTTGTCTCCATTTGCATTAAACCGTATTTAAACGTTACTAGAAACGGTTGTTGTAAATGTGAAGTTTTATTGAATACCTAAACTGTCTACATGCATGGGTTTCAAAAATAACTAATACAACCAAAACTACGTATAACTAACTAAATAACAATTGTGAAAACGATAAACTTAATTACATCACTGTCCAGTTTTGTCGAGGCGATCGATGCACAGCCACGACGTGTCCCAAAACAGCTCTAAAAGCTACGGAAACTAATTACGAAAACTTTATGAATTTTCTGCCAAGTGCCTGAAAACAGATTCTGGCAAAGTTTTACTTGTCCCAATTCGGAACTGGTTACTGCGTGATGAATAACCACTAACCTAAATAAATGTTCCTGTTGTTCTATATGAAGCTACACAGTTTTTTTATTAATCACGCATGCACTACTTTGATTGCTACTGGTATTACTAGTGAAATATTAGATAATTAACACGTCTCTCAAACCTATGTTTCGGAACGTTCTTCCAATTGTTCCTGTCTTTCATAAGGGCGGTGAATGTTTTCAAGTCATTTTTAGCGACTGCCCGTTGAATTATCTTGCGTGTTTCTGGCGTGTAATCTCCACGAAATCGTAAGTCAATAAGTATTTCCTTAATGGCAGGAAGTAGTTTGTTCCAATCGGTTTTACCGTAAAGTTCTACAACATCTTTCTTATTTACGATTCTACGTACATCCTTCTCCATTGCCTTGTAAGTGATTTCAAAAAGTTTCTTTTGTTGACATGGTGTTATTTCAAAGTTTTCCAGTTTGTTGTCCTGTAGATAATGTGGAAACACAAAACAGTTATTTGCTTCAGAGAACACTGTAAATCCAATTTCGCAAAACAGCTATTAGTATCCAGTTTTTTATATATGTAGCTTCTTTGGGTACTTAAAATGTAGAATAATGAAAAAATTCTCCCGCACTCTTCACTCCTTGTGAACCAGGAGTGTGAGTCTTTTCCAACAAATTAAAAATGGCTTGCGCACGGAATTTAAAAGCTTTAAATTAATCATATTTTGAGTTAATGGATGGAAAGTTTGTTGGGTGTTTAATTACTGTACAAAGTTTCAGACAATTTGCTTTAGCTTAATAAAAACGTACATTTTTTCCTAAATAATTGCATGCTAATTAATGCCTTTGCCTAATTTGCATATGTCAGCAATATGCGAATTAGGTAAAAGCATTAATTTAGCATGCGAAAGACTGATTATTTAAGGAAAATATGAACAGTAAAAGGCTTAAACAATAGCAAATGTTTTTCAGAGTGTTGTTTTAGATTCATTGAAATTCGAAAAAATATTGGGGAAATGTGTCCAGTGCTAAAGCCACAAATATGCAGGTCGTAATCTAACGAAAACATAACGTGAGATGTGTTACTTTGATACGGCCTAAAATATATATTGCCTTACCGCAAGATATTACCTAGCTACATAAAAATATTACTTTGGTACAAGAAATATTTTCTCGATATAAGAAAGATTACCTTGATAAACTTTTTGGCAGCTTTACCCCGAAGTCCCGCAGCACAAGACAGCAGTTTTGCCTTGCAAATCCCTGCTTCTCTCAGATCTTTTTCAATTTGTTTTTTAGGTTTATCTTTCATGTCGTATCCCCGTCCTATGGTTAAACCAGACTTGTCAGTCGGAACATGAAGCTTTCGGCTGTGGAACCTTCCTCCTTCTTGTCCTTCTGCGTCGAACGTTAACTGCCCGCGCGATTCACTTTAAAGTTTAGTAGAAAATTAACACGTCTCTGATACCTATCTTTCGGAACGTTCTTCCAATTGCTCCTGTCTACAATAAGGGCGGTGAATGTTTTCAAGTCATTTTTAGCGACTGCCCGTTGTATTATCTTGCGTGTTTCTGGCGTGTAATCTCCACGAAATCGTAAGTCAATAAGTATTTCCTTAATGGCAGGAAGTAGTTTGTTCCAATCGGTTTTACCGTAAAGTTCTACAACATCTTTCTTATTTACGATTCTACGTACATCCTTCTCCATTGCTTCGTAAGTGATTTCAAAAAGTTTCTTTTGTTGACATGGAGTTATTTCAAAGTTTTCCAGTTTGTTGTCCTGTAGATAATGTGGAAACACAAAACAGTTATTTGCTTCAGAGAACACTCACTAATTCCAATTTCGCAAAACAGCTATTTGTGTCCAGTTTTTTTATATATGTAGCTTCTTTGGGTACTTAAAATGTAGAATAATGAAAAAAATCTCCCGCACTCTTCACTCCTTGTGAAACAGGACTGTTAGTCTTTTCCAACAAATTAAAAATGGCTTGCTCACGGAATTTAAAAGCTTTAATCATATTTTGAGTTAATGGATGGAAGTTTGTTGTGTGTTTAATTACTAGAAAATATGGAGATAGCGTAGCCAGGTTTAGACATAATTAAGAACATAAACGTTCTCTGACTTAAATTTTATTTAAAAAAATTCCGCTTTACCCGTCGAAGACTACAGTTAGGTAGTCGAAAGCTCGTTTTTAAATAAAATTTTAGTCAGAGAACGTTTATGTTTTTAATTATGTTTAATTACTGTACAAAGTTTCAGACAATTTGCTTTAGCTTAATAAAAACTAACATTTTTTTCCTAAATAATTGCATGCTAATTAATGCTTTTGCCTAATTTGCATATGTCAGCAATATGCAAATTAGGTAAAAGCATTAATTTAGCATGCGAAAGACTGATTTTTTAAGGAAAATATGAACATTAAAAGGCTTAAACAATAGCAAATGTTTTTCAGAGTGTTGTTTTAGATTCATTGAAATTCGAAAAAATATTGGGGAAATGTGTCCAGTGCTAAAGCCACAAATATGTAGGTCGTAAGCTAACGAAAACATAACGTGAGATGTGTTACTTTGATACGGCCTAAAAAATATATTGCCTTACCGCAAGATATTACCTAGCTACATAAAAATATTACTTTGGTACAAGAAATATTTTCTCGATATAAGAAAGATTACCTTGATAAACTTTTTAGCAGCTTTGCCCCGAAGTCCCGCAGCACAAGAAAGCAGTTTTGCCTTGCAAATCCCTGCTTCTCTCAGATCTTTTTCAATTTGTTTTTTAGGTTTATCTTTCATGTCGTATCCCCGTCCTATGGTTAAACCAGACTTGTCAGTCGGAACATGAAGCTTTCGGCTGTGGAACCTTCCTCCTTCTTGTCCTTCTGCGTCGAACGTTAACTGCCCGCGATTCACTTTAAAGTTTAGTAGAAAATTAACACGTCTCTGAAACCTATCTTTCGGAACGTTCTTCCAATTGTTCCTGTCTTCCATAAGGGCGGTGAATGTTTTCAAGTCATTTTCAGCGACTGCCCGTTGTATTATCTTCCGTGTTTCTGGCGTGTAATCTCCACGAAATCGTAAGTCAATAAGTATTTCCTTAATGGCAGGAAGTAGTTTGTTCCAATCGGTTTTACCGTAAAGTTCTACAACATCTTTCTTATTTACGATTCTACGTACATCCTTCTCCATTGCTTCGTAAGTGATTTCAAAAAGTTTCTTTTGTTGACATGGAGTTATTTCAAAGTTTTCCAGTTTGTTGTCCTGTAGATAATGTGGAAACACAAAACAGTTATTTGCTTCAGAGAGCACTCACTAATTCCAATTTCGCAAAACAGCTATCAGCATCGAGTTTTTTTTATATATGTAGCTTGTTTGGGTACTTAAAATGTAGAATAATGAAAAAAATCTCCCGCACTCTTCACTCCTTGTGAAACAGGAGTGTTAGTCTTTTCCAACAAATTAAAAATGGCTTGCGCACGGAATTTAAAAGCTTTAATCATATTTTGAGTTAATGGATGGAAAGTTTGTTGGGTGTTTAATTACTGTACAAAGTTTCAGACAATTTGCTTTAGCTTGATCAAAACTTACATTTTTTCCTAAATAATTGCATGCTAATTAATGCCTTTGCCTAATTTGCATATGTCAGCAATATGCAAATTAGGTAAAAGCATTAATTTAGCATGCGAAAGGCTGATTTTTTAAGGAAAATATGAACAGTAAAAGGCTTAAACAATAGCAAATGTTTTTCAGAGTGTTGTTTTAGATTCATTGAAATTCGAAAAAATATTGGGGAAATGTGTACAGTGCTAAAGCCACAAATATGCAGTTCGTAAGCTAACGAAAACATAACGTGAGATGTGTTATTTTGATACGGCCTAAAAAATATATTGCCTTACCCCAAGATATTTCCTAGCTACATAAAAATATTACTTTGGTACAAGAAATATTTTCTCGATATAAGAAAGATTACCTTGATAAACTTTTTGGCAGCTTTGCCCCGAAGTCCCGCAGCACAAGAAAGCAGTTTTGCTTTTGCTTTATCTATCCCTGCTTTTCTGAGGTCTGTTTCAATTTGTTTTTTAGTTTTTTCTTTCATGTCGTATCCGCGTCCTATGGTTAAACCAGACTTGTCAGTCGGAACATGAAGCTTTCGGCTGTGGAACCTTCCTCCTTCTTGTCCTTCTGCGTCGAACGTTAACTGCCCGCGATTCACTGAAATGTGTACATACTGAAATGGGTAACATACTATGTATTAAGCATTCAATTTATTTTGTGGATTTGCCAAACTGGTTGTTATGCAGTTGGTCTTAAACTTTTTCTCTCCCACCTTTTCACTATCCTTGTGTAACCTCTTAGTCTACAGAACCCCCCATCTCCATCACCCCTTCTCCGTATATAATATGGTGTAAATTAACAGTTAATTAAGCTCAAAATCTAATAGCAGAACATGACAAAATCTTCTCCCTGCATCCAGTTTTCTGTCTAAAGAGGAAATGAAGTAAAAATTAACTTTGCTTCATCCCAAAGATCTTCTAAAAGTAATAACAGATGTTTCACTTACATATATTCACAAATCTATAAATAACTCGGTGTGTAAACGGCATTTTTTTGGTACTTGGAAAATCGTGGAAATGAAGCAAATTTCCTTTTTTTTCATTTCAGTTCCTATTTTAACATTTAGATAGATCACTACATGCTAGCCCTGGAATGATGAGTTATAAGGTGGAGTCTTAGGTCCAAATTCTGCAGATAGAAATTACGTATAGTACATTGCCATTGTAAAAAGTACGTACCTTTGAAGCAGTCGTCCTTTTTTACTGGTTTCTTTTGGGGCGGTTCTGCGCATTTACATCCTATGGTTGTTGATGGTGTGCTTGCATTTGTTGGCTGTGGGCTTGGGCGTGGGCTTGTGTTTGTAGATGGTGGGCTTACATTTGTTGGTTGTGGACTTTCGTTTGTTGCTGGTGTGCTTGCGCCAGTTTGTGATGTGGTTGAGTCCATTGGTCGTGTGCTTGCCTCGGTTGGTGATGGGCTTGCGTTGGTTGGTCGCGTATTTACTTCGGTTGATGATTGACTTGCGTTGGTTGGTCCTGTGCTTGCCTCGGTTGGTGATGGGCTTGCGTTGGTTGGTCGTGTGCTTGCCTCTGTTGGTGATGGGCTTGCGTTGGTTGGTCGTGTGCTTGCCTCGGTTGGTGATGGGCTTGCGTTGGTTGGTCGTGTGCTTGCCTCTGTTGGTGATGGGCTTGCCTTGGTTGGTCGTGTGCTTGCCTCGGTTGGTGATGGGCTTGCGTTGGTTGGTCGTCTGCTTGTATCCGTTGGCAATGAGCTTTTCTGCATTGGTGATGCGCTCGTGTCCATTGTTGATGTGCTTGTGTCGGTTGGTGATGGGCTTGTGTCGGTTAGCGATGGTGTTGAGTCGATTGATGGTAGACTTGCGTCTGTTGGTGATGTGTTAATGTCGGTTGGTGATGGGCTTGCGTTGGCTGGCTGCGGAATAACTATGCTTGATTGTGAGTTTAGTGTAGTTGGTTGCAATTGATCGCTTACTTTGGTTGGTTTATGGATTATATCAGTCGTTTGTGGGCTTGTATTTGTGGGTCTGAAATACAGAGATGGGAGACGAAATATCCTGATTTACTTCATATTACACTGCATAGTTTATCAACCTTTCATCATGCAGGCTATCTGATATTGATGATGCTGCTTGTTCCACATTTTTCAACAAGTTGATGTAGAATTTCTTTTTTTGGTTACTTCTATAAAATGTGACTGGCGACTTCTATAAAATGTCTGTTTCATTCGATGGGTAAAAACAAAATTTTCGCCTGCGGCTATATTCTGGTTTTATTGTCGAAGAAGACAAATATTGACAAAGATGTCAAAGAAATTATTTGTCAAAGAAACCGCAGCGAAATATAGATATTAGTTTAATTTAAAAACTAGAATTGAAAGTAAGCATACGAATGAACACAAACAATTGAGCAATCTAATGTTACTATACAGGGTGTATCAAAATAAACGCAATTCATCTTTTGTGCTTAATAACTTTCGAAATACTATATCTAGTTAAACGCTTTTAGGCTTACTTCAAAGCCTGTTCTTTTCTCTTTCAAACAAACTATTATCCTTGTCTCCAATGCTAGTAATAATTGCACAGGAAAAGATTTAGTAAAACCTATCATTTTTAGTTGCTGTTTAATTATGCAAGTTTACTATGTTATTGTTTAGTCGGTTTAAATGTTAGAATTTTCTTCTTTAAACTTTAATGTTGTCGCCACTACATCTGGAAAACCACGTAAGAACAAATTAAAAGTATTTTAAAAGAGACCAGGTTGTTTGAAAATCCTAAACGAATGCTACTGAAAATCGTCAAAACATTCTGGTGTCTGAGCCAGAGTGTCATCGAATTGCGATGTAATGTAAACAGAAATTATAGCAAGTTGATGTCAGTCAGCTTAGATGGTCCAAGCCAAAATTATATCGCATTTGAAGTTTCAAACTGAGTTACAAATAGTGGAAGAAAAGCCGTAATTATACTTATTGTTACAATCCATTTAATAAAATGCAACATTTTTTGTTTTTATGAAAAAATCAGTTATTTTCATGAGAACGATTTGTTATTCCATCTCAATTTTTTTAATCTCCAATTGCAATAACGTAAAGTATTATTACCCGCGAACCAATGAGTCAAATTTAAGAAACAACTCACTGTGAGAAAGCTGAATGGCTACGCTTTAAAATGAATGTAAACTTTAACGTTTTCGTCTATTATTTGTTTAGCAATTTACATTTCAGTCGAGGATTGCGCTTTTTTTTATAGACCCTGTATAGTGCCTTGGGAGAGTTACAGAGCAAGACTTAGTGTTTAACTTAATAACTATTTAAGGCCGTAACCTAACTATATAAGGCCATAACCGTAGGATCTCTTTTTGATGAAAAAAATCGTCTAGGTCTATCGTTTATAGACAGTAAAATACTGATAACTGCGTCGCACCAAAAGTCTGCAGATTATTGCTGCAGCTGTTAAATAAAGGCGATACAAACGAACGGACGGATAAATATCGAGAGTGTGATCATCTCGCCCGGCTATATCACTAACTGTTAAAAAGAATCCTGTCCTGATCCTGAGTCTAGTAACTGGAGTGTCGAGACGTTGGGTCTTGATTACAATTCGACTGGGCTTTGTGGTCATTTATTTAAACCAGAGTAGCGAGAGAAATATGATCAACAAACATGTTTTTGATCATAAAAATTTTCACCTGCATGTGCATGCTTTTGGTTTTAATTGTTTAAGGTTAGGATTGTTATCTCAATAATGCAGCATGCCGATATATATTAACCTATATAGCTTCTGTTTTTCTAAAACTCCTCGTCAAATATATTTTACCGACCTTAAATGAGTTGTTTGTGTCCCGCTACTTGACACTCTTGGTGTGCTAAAAGATGCATCAATTTCCAAACATCCTTCAATAAACGAGAGTCCACATAGCACAGCTATGACCATGACGATCGAATGCACATTAGTCTTCATCTTCTTTCTCGAGGTGGAGATCTGGCACGAAGTTCTCTAAAAACTCATGCTTTTATAGGTATCGTCTGCAATCTACATGTTGCTTAATAGTCTATTCTAGCATAATTTGTGCTAAAACGGTAGTCATTTTCACTACATGATATTTTCCTGTTTCGAAAGATAATAGATTTAAAGTTAACAAGGTCTGTGGGGGAAATGGTTGAACTAGTATTAATTAAATAAGCCATATTTCCTCTGGTTTGTTACATTGACATACCAGAAATAACCAGAATAATTGGTAGAATGCTTTCACAAATGTCATGATTGCCAGTCTAGAAAGGAATCTTTGTAAGAACTCACTTATTATATACATGTACATTGACAGAATTTCCTGCATGCTTTTGAAACAGGAATTCCAGGGGTGGATATGGAGTCCCAAAATATGACGTCGCCGCCATGGTAATGTAGCTCAATATTTTGATAGATTGACATGTGTTTTATAATTTGCAAAAAGAAAAAGAATCGCTATTGCTCCTTTTGAAACAGGAATTGCGAGGGTGGATTTGGAGTCCAGAAGAATGACGTCAGTTGCCATGGTAGTGTCGCTCAATATTTTATAATTTTGAAAATAACCTTGCAATTGTAAACAAAAAGACTTGCTGAAAAATTTCGATGTATGCTGAAAAATTTCAATAAAACTGCCGAAATAACCGAAATTTTTCAACATTTACAAGTATAACCTATCATTCCGGCCGCCATTTTCATTTCTCAGCATAATCAGCAATATGATACCCCCCTTTGCGTGTTTCACTGTAGTTATATATATAAGATGTGAAGGTGGATATGGAGTCGCAAAATATGACGTCGTTGTCATGGTAATGCAGCTCAATACTTTGATAGACTTATAAGAAGATATTTGATAGATTTATTTTTTGATAGACTTGTGTTTTGATAGACTTATAAGAACGAGGGGAGGGATAGTACTTTTTCTCCTATATGTGTACAATCTACCCAAGGCTGTGTTGTTCAGCTTCGCTGACGATACCAAAGTCCAGAAGAGAGTCATGGGCGTACCGGAAGGAAAAAATTAAGGGGGGCGGAAAGAAAATCGCCCGACTTTTCGGGATTCTGCCCGACTAGCACCAAAAAATTTTTCCCGGAGAAATTATTTTTGGCGACCTCCCCCCCCCCGTCGCCAAAAAAATTTCGGTCAGTGTACCATTTTAGGGGTCAAAAAAATTTTCCGGACAACCAAAATTTTTCGGGACATAACACAAATTTTCGAAAAATCGCATAATTTGCCAAAAAACTGACTTAGTTTTAGACAAAATTGACTGAATTTGTCCCATTTTTTTTATTGCAAACCAAAATTGCCCGACTGCTGATCGAATATTGCCCGACTGCCCAAAAAACTGGGGGGGCTGCCGCCCCCCCCCGCCCGGTACGCCTATGAAGAGAGTTGAAAGTCAAAAGACGATTGATCTTCAAAGTGATATCGACAACTTCAACGCTTGGGCTGCTGTGGGTAGTGACGTTGAATGATTGGGAATGCTACTTTTGAAACAGGAAGTGTGAGGGTTGATATGGAATCGAGGAGAATGACGTCTGTTTCCAGAGTAACGATGCTCAATATTTTGATAGAATGACACTTATTTTATAATTTGTTTAAAAAAACAAAATATTTGGAAATGGAGTCGCAAAATAGATCGTCGTTGTCATGGTAATATAGCTCAATATTTTGATAGACTTACAAGAACATATTTGATATACTTATATTTTGAAAGATTTATGTTTTGATTAGACTTTCTGATAGACTTATTTTCGTAGATTTGTATTTTGATAGACTAATACTTTGATATTAATATTTTGATTGACCTATACTTTGATAGACTTATAAATATAAGAACGAGAGGAAACGTCGGGAGTTCCCTAGGGCAAGATCCTATGGCCAGTACTTTTTCTCTTATATGTGAGCGATCTATCCAAGGCCTAGCCGTGTTGTCATCAAAAGTGACTTGCTTCGCTGACGACACCTGCAAAGTCCTAACGAGAGTTAAAAGTCAAGAAGATAGCGTTGATCTTCAAAGTGATATCGACAACCTCAAACCTCGGGCTGCACTCAATGGGTTGACGTTCAATGATTGGAAATGCTGCTTTTGAAACAGGAATTACGGGGGTGATATGGAATCCAGGAGAATGACATAGTTGCCATAGTAATGTTGCTCAATCTTTTGATAGGATGATACTTATTTTACAATTTGTTAAAAAACATTTCTTTACGCGTGGTATGGGTGACAGTAAGTACGGTATCATATTGCTAATTATGCCGAAACATTTCAACTTTACAAGTATAACTATAAGCTATCACTCTCTTGTTTACACGGCCGCCAAGTTTTATTTTTTCAGCATAATCAGCAATATGATATATATACTTTACTCCCCCCCCCTGCACGCACAAACTAAAAGCTGGAATTGCCTATTGTGAAGGTGGATATGGCGTCGCAAAATATGACGTCGTTGTCATGGTGATGACAACAACAACAACACTTTGATAGACTTAAAAGAAAGTATTTCATAGATTTATATTTTGATATAATTCTATTTTGATAGACTTATAAGAACGAGAGGTAACGTCGGGAGTCCCCTGAGCGAGGTCGATCCGAGGGCCAGTTCGTTTTCTAGCTCCTATATGTCAACGATCTACCCAAGGCCGTGTTGTCATCAAAAGTGACCTGTTCCGCTGACGATACCAAAGTCCTGAAGAGAGTTGAAAGTCAAAAGACGATTGATCTTCAAAGTGATATCGACAACCTCAACCCTTGGGCTGCATTCAATAGGTTGACGTTCAATGATTCGAAATGCTACTTTTGAAACACGAATTGCGAGGGTGGATATGTGGTCCAAGAGAATGACGTCAGTTGCCATAGTAATGTTGCTCAATATTTTGATAGGATGACACCTAATTTATAATTTGTAAAAAAACACAAAATTTTTGGCCTTAACTGCTTTTGAAACAGGAATTGTGAAGGTAGAAATAGAGTCGCAAAATATGACATTGTTGTCATGGTAATGTAGCTCAATGTTTTGATAGACTTATACAGTGTAAGAAGAAAATTGATGGACTTATATTTTGACAGATTTATATTTTGATAGACTTATTTAATTTTAATAAATTCTTTGTATGTTTGCATGGCGATAAAACATATAATAGTTTTGTTTGTGGAAACATCACGTAAATTTATTACTGCAAAGCTTTCGATCCGTAAGCCCGGATTATTATTAGCACATATTATTAGCACTGATGAAGATCCGGGCTTACGGATCGAAAGCTTTGCAGTAATAAATTTACGTGATATTTCCACAAACTAAACTATTATTTAATTTTCATAGACTTATATTTTGATAGACTAATATTTTGATAGACTCAATATTTTGATTACCCTGGGTGCCAGAGGTTCTTCCACGCTCGTAGGGGGATAATGAGGGATACACGAGGATTCGAGCTGGGCGGGAGGCGAGCGGGAAGAACCTCTGGAACACTTCTATGGTTTTTCAGATCGAACCGCACCAATCACGATGCTTAATAGTGTGAAGTGATCCAGAATCTGGATCACAGTGTTAATTGGTTAACGGCAGGGACTTCGGTAAAACAATGACTTTCATTAGCTGTTTGAACCGTATGTCCTTCAAGATATTATCGTTCAGAATCCGTACAGGCATACGCTGTTGTTTAATATAATATTATATTTATAACAAAGTCAGGCGTAAATATATATGCCTCTAGTTTTGCGAGTCTTGCGAGAGGATTTCAACAAGTCGGTCGCGGTTGATTCGATTTTGAAATTATTTACTTGGACGGTGTTACAAAACTCAATAAACATCAAGATGATGCCTGGGTAGGGATAAAACGCTGAAACTGAATCGCGGAAACGGAAACTGAAAGCGGAAACTGAAATGGGGATAAAACGCTGAAATGGGGGTAAAACGCTGAAATGGGGGTAAAACGCTGAAATGGGGATAAAACGCTGAAATGGGGGTAAAACGCTGAAATGGGGATAAAACGCTGAAATGGGGGTAAAACGCTGAAATGGGGGATAAAACGCTGAAATGGGGATAAAACGCTGAAATGGGGATAAAACGCTGAAATGGGGGTAGAACGCTGAAATGGGGGTAAAACGCTGAAATGGGCAAATTTAATCGAATTCGTTGTTTGCTAGACCATTGCGAACACATGTAATTTGCCTATAAAACTGAATAAATATAAGAAAGATGTTCCCGGTAAAATGACAACCACAAATTTTCGAAGAACGAATATAATCTGACAGTTTATCTTTTATTAATAATGTAATCTACAATTTTCTCCATATAACTTCGAACTCAACTTTTTGTGATAGCATACTATCTTCACACTGCCATATGGCTGGTATTTTGGGTGTAAAACCGGTGTCACAGGAATTTCCCGGGAATTGTCAGGACACGTGTCTAAATCGGAAAAAAACGTTTTTCTTCTCCTGCCTACACGCGTAAAAATCATGAACTTGTAGTTGCAATGTTGATAAAAACAGGTTGCAACAATAATGTGCTACGCCTATTGTTCACGAATGTTACCAATATTGTTCAGCATTGTTGCACCCCATTCAAGATGAATAATATTGTTCAATGTTGTTAACTGTAAAAAACAGGTCAGCATAATGTTGTTGCAACCTGTTGTGCAGTGCGGTGCGGTGCGGTGCGGTGCGGTGCGGTGCGGTGCGGTGCGGTGCGGTGCGGTGCGGTGCGGTGCGGTGCGGTGCGGTGCGGTGCGGTGCGGTGCGGCGCGGTGCGGTGCGGTGCGGTGCGGTGCGGTGCGGTGCGGTGCGGTGCGGTGCGGTGCGGTGCGGTGCGGTGCGGTGCGGTGCGGTGCGGTGCGGTGTGGTGCGGTGCGGTGCGGTGCGGTGCGGTGCGGTGCGGTGCGGTGCGGTGCGGTGCGGTGCGGTGCGGTGCGGTGCGGTGCGGTGCGGTGCGGTGCGGTGCGGTGCGGTGCGGTGCGGTGCGGTGCGGTGCGGTGCGGTGCGGTGCGGTGCGGTGCGGCGCGGTGCGGTGCGGTGCGGTGCGGTGCGGTGCGGTGCGGTGCGGTGCGGTGCGGTGCGGTGCGGTGCGGTGCGGTGCGGTGCGGTGCGGTGCGGTGTGGTGCGGTGCGGTGCGGTGCGGTGCGGTGCGGTGCGGTGCGGTGCGGTGCGGTGCGGTGCGGTGCGGTGCGGTGCGGTGCGGTGCGGTGCGGTGCGGTGCG